TCTCTCTCTCTCTCTCCCCCCCCTCTCTCGATGGCTCGCTCCTATCTTTCCGCTCTCACTAGTATATTGAGAACTCCTTCTCAAAAGCCATTACTGTTCACGAATTTAACACCCATCTGAACGTAACGTAAGAAGACTGCGGATAAAAATTGACTTCTCTCATCTCAGCACTATTACAGCACGTCAAAAATGAATTCTCAAATGCAGTTCATAACGACTGACTCCTTTAGTTTTAAAATGTAGGTGTTTTTACGTCCCTATGGCCACAATTCAGATTATTTAGGAGTCGCGCTCCCGACTCTGCACGTCAGCACGTCAGAGCCGACTCGGGTTGAGAGGGATACAGCACCCCCAGGAGTAAGACCGAGATAGTTGGCGATATGAATTTTCTCCCAACTCAGGAATTGAACTCGGGTGTCCTGCGTATACGTAGCGTCGGGTGGGTTGTAAAGAGGGTGAGGCTTGGCGTGACCAAACAATGAGATCACTCAGTTTATAAAGGTTGTGTTATGTCTAAAAAAGACAGTGAAGCACGCAGATAACAAACAACCTGATGATATAAATAGATTCAAAAGTATTGTAATCTTGTTAGTGGCAATACCACATTTGAAACCCGGAAAATGGACTCCTCTATGTGTCTTTATATGTACTCGTACATCATTTGTGTCCTTTGGTTTTTATGCTGAGCGAATTTGCGATGACTTGTTGATTCTTCTTCTTCCTCTTCTTCTTCGTTCTTCATGGTAGATTACATGGTGAGGGCTGAAGTGATGAACTCCGCAGTGATTTCCAGGTCGAGAGGGCTGCCATACAGCCTCTGGTGCATGTCCCTGGGTTGATGCCAGTTGTTTTGTCTTGCCGTATCCAGTAGTGGGCAGTCCTGAAAAATATGTTGTGTATCTTGGTGGCTGGTACCACAAGGACAATTGGGTCCATCACCGATCTTGAATCGGGAGAGCATGTAATGCTTCAGCCTAGTTATGTCTTGTTCTGAGTCTGAAGATTATCACTTGGTTGGCTCTTGGAAGCTGGTAGATTAGGTCCCCTCCTCCGCGCTGTGAGTGCGCCTCGTTCCATTGGGCATGGATTGCTGACTTAATGAGTGTTTTAGCCTCCTGGTAGTCGGGGCTGTGATGGGTTTGTTCCATTTGTCCTCCTTTCTTCTCCAGTTCGTCGGCACATTCGTTTCCAAATATGTCGACGTGTCCAGGAATCCATTCAAGACAACTGCAGGCTGTAGAGTTTAGTGCCTTGATAGTTCTTGTTAGGGCATTGAGTTCAGTACTCTTGCTGTTCTCCAGGAATTGTGGGACTGATAATTTTGCGACAGTCAAAAGTACCACTTTCGCCTTGTGTGTAGCCTCACTGTTTCCGAGCATCTTGGTTGCCTCTTGGAGAGCTTCTGTCTCTGCGTTATAGTTGGTGGAGTATTTTCCTGTTGGTATGCTGATGCTGGAACTTGTTTCATCAAGCCACTTTATGTAGATAACCCCACCTCCGTCTCGTGTTGCTTCCATGGCTGATCCATCTGTGAATGATCTGATCCACTGATCTGGTGAGTACTTCTCTCTGAGCCCGAAGTGGGTCAACTAGTGTGTTTGGCTCTTGGATATTGCTCCTTTGCAGACAATTCCTTCGATATCCTTTATGATCTCTGGATGGCTGTGCTGATTCCAAGGAGGACAGTGTTTTGTTGTCTGAATCGGGGCATCTGGTTCAAGGTCTGGTAAATCAAGGTTCTTGTGACTCCCCATGGCTGAAGTCGTAATGTTTCGCCGTTTCAGTCTTTTCTTCGGTTTGTTTGTCATCATTTTGTGCATGGGATGAACGGTGCATCCTTCACGATTAACCATTCATGATATTATTAAAATATATGTTTTGCTTCCCATCCACAGCTGGATGCCAAAAATTTTGCTGTTTGATGTGGTCCCAGTCCCAGTCTCTGGACAGAGAGCTTACTTTCTCGTAATTAAGAACTAAAGCGAATTTCCAGTAAGTATTCTACACAATGCATTGCTGCATTGAAGAGCAAACAGTATATTTGTATTCCAATTCCAAACTACCTGAACTCACTGATACAATAAGTCGGCGCTTGCTTCATCGTTCATCTGATCTCCACAAACATAACTCAAATGAACACAGTACGCAAGAGGTCGATAACAGCTAACATGCTCAAAGATTCATTCACGTGTCACACACACGCTAGACTGAGCCCAATGACATCATCACAGTAACACGGCTTA